CTGAGAATTATTGCCACCACACCTGTAACAGTTGCGTCTGCTGAAAGGAGTTTTTCGAGGCTTAAAATTATCAAAACATATTTGAGGAATTCGATGACACAAGAACGGCTTTCAGCCCTTGCTATTCTTTCAATCGAAAATGACGTAGCTCATTCGTTAGATTATTGTGCTTTAATTAAAGATTTCAGTCTTAGGAAAAGCCGCAAACATCAATTTCAATTTCTGTATTTATTAATTTGGAAATCTTTCAAAATAAGATAAAATGATGAGTGGTATTTCAGGTCAGCCGGCAGAGCCGTACTTTTACCGTCTGACCTGAAATACCACTCAACATAAAAACTAATCGGCTTCGTTAAGAAGCTGGGTTTATGTGGTCGAGTGTGAATAGGTGTGACCCACAATAAACCCTTGCGGGTTGCGGTGGAGGGTCGAATAGACCCACTCACTTTGGACATAACCTAACCTAGGCTGGACGATTTCCATACGAGTAACTGTCAATGGGAATTATAGATTCATTATTATTATTAATATCCTCTCTAAAACTGTTATTTCAAAATATTGTACTTCATTATTCTCACAAGAAGTATTTACAAAACAAATTTTTCGACAGGCTATGGTTGCATGACTTGTATTGGCAATAGTGGAGGAATCGATGAAAATATCGTGTGTGCCATTGAAGAAAATGACTTGATTTGCTGCGGTGTTCTTTCCGGAAATAGGAATTTCGAAGGGCGTATACATCCCAACACACGCGCCAACTATTTAGCGAGCCCCCTGTTGGTTATAGCGTACGCGATAGCTGGTAGAGTTGATATTGACTTCCAGACAGAACCTTTGGGGGAAAAGAAGGATGGATCGCCGATATTTTTGAGAGATATTTGGCCGACGAGAAAAGAAATACAGGCAGTCGAACAACAGTACGTGATTCCAGCCATGTTCAAAGAAGTATATGAAAAGATCGAATCGGGTATGTTATTTATTAGTTAGTAGTAAGTAGTTAGTAGTTAAGTATCTATAAATATGTTGAAATGTTGTTCATCCTTTACCCCTTATCTAAGTGTAATCCGACAACATATCAAATATTTTTAAGAGAGACCCTATCAAAACTCATCAAAGGACAAAATATCCTTAGAATAGTTCAAGGAATAGTCCTTCAATTTTTGCCGCATATTTAATAAACACCCTGTAAAATTATTTCGTATTAAATTTTTTTTTTTTTTAACAACTGTCATTAAAAGTTGCACATTTTTAATGGTTTTCAAGAGTATTAAAAGATGATGTTTACAAAGCTGTTTTGAAAATATTTTTAAAACCAGTGTCAAAACTGTTTTTCGACCAAATAGCAATAAACGCAACATAATTATTCAATTTTCAAGTAAGTTTTATTTTGAACCATAGGTATAGATACAATTAAATTATGTTACAAATGTATTGTATACATTGATTACACTATTATTATTATTTATGTACATTTATATGAAAAGCACAATTAGAACAACTGCTGATATTAATACCTTGTGATGTTGATGGGCCTTGTAATATATTTGAACTAGCTGAGTTGACTATTTCATGGGCATTAACATTCAATTCTTGAAGTAAAGAGGACAATGCTGTAACACTAGAGCTACCCGTTGGGATTATTCTTTCAACAATAACCTTTTTATAAGAAATAGATTGATCGATGTAACCCTCAGCTACTGCTGTAGACTTCCATCCTCCGTGCTTCTTAATATCCGTTATATTTGCTCCTGATTCTGCTAGCAAAGAAGCAGAAGACCTTCTGAAACAGTGACCTGTATATTTCTTTGGTTCCGGGAGGTTCAGAAAGTCAGCAATGGTAGAGGGCATTTTCGCAAACGTGTTTATACCAACTGGGTTGGCACTGCATTTATAATTTGAGTATTTCATAAAAAACTTCGATGATTGATAACAGAAGGGCGTAATGCAACGTATTTATTGAAATAGTCAATGTTTCTGTCCAACAATGCAAAAAGAACGACCTATTTTCGTTTTTGTACTTGGAATTTGAACAATCAATGATTTATCCAATAATTTAAGGCTCCATATATGCCGAAAATAGTAGCAACTTTCATCATTAAATATTTTTCATCTGGATCCTCACTTATAAACCTCTGGAGTGGTTCAAACATAAGAGTTTTTGATTTTTTGGGCCTATAACTTAGATTTCAGACTAAGAAAATATATCATAGTATGCCCTGAAACTTTTAGAAAACATTTCAAATTTTGTCCTAAGGTAGACCTTTTAGTACTTGACATTTAAAAAAAATTATTAAAATCGATTTACAACTTCAAATTTTAGGGGGGTGTTTCCATTAAAAATGGGTCACACTGTATATAAAATTAGAGACAAGTCACATTTTAAAAACAAGCAACTAGAAAACAAGACGAATTATTGATGACAATTATTTGAAATATATTCACTACATTTTCTTTTGAATGAATTTAATGAATCACAGCTTTTCATATGACGTGGCAAATTATTAAATGCAATCAGACCAAAACTATACAACGAGTCACAACCTATATGTTCTCTGTTGATATAAAAATTTCCTATTCTATTTCTAGTGGAGTGTGTATGATAACTTTTATTTTATTCGTGAAATTGCTCAACTTACTATGCTCGTTTCGCGAACTTTTTCACTCACAAAAAAACCTTACTTTTAAACACTTATATCATAAAAAGCTATAATGTGCAATTCCATTTGATAGTTTGCAAAACCGCGACACGTTTCGCTTTACAATAGCATCTTCAGTCGTCACAATACTGTTTAAATAAATTCTGTGTCATGCTTTTATAGTATTTGAATCCTAATAACTATTACTACCTGACAAATTTCTATTTGATAAATTCCCTCATTGCAAACCAAATTCAATAAAGGGGAACAATTCAAATCTATTTGATCATTGAGCACTAATCCTGAATTTTTAAATCTGATTATTTCAACAATCTGAAGAATAATCAAAGCTAAATAATAGATAATCCAGCTGAGGTGTAATGAAGAATAAACCCAAAAGTTCCCTGTGAAAGTGTTCAATGTGAACCACTGAAGAGTCCAATTAGTCAGTAATATTCATAAATTTTGCCTACAAATTGAATATTTACCAAAGTGCAGAAGTGCGACATATTTTTATTATTTGCATCTTGGAAATTACCACTTTGAATCTGGAAATTTCGACCTTTATCTGGAAATTATGACTTTAATCTGGTGATTTCAAAATTACGAGATTAAGCCTTTTTTTTTAGGTTCAGTTAATGGATCAGGAGCTGGAGAGTTGGGAAGCTCTCGTTCCTGATCTAAATTTACAAGGAGGTCAGCTGGAGTCATAAGCTTGACATCCATCTCCTCTATAGAGTCAGCGTCAAAAAAAGTTTTAAGTTTACTCTGTCCATAAAAGTCCCACAAGTAACTAGGGAAAGAAGGTCAATCACGGCAGAGCCCCGCATTATCGTGACAAGGCGATGCTACGACGAGAGGGCGCCCGGTATCTCGAAGGTTCGCTAGAGACAGCTGGTAGGCTCAGTGTCATTCAGTCAGGGAATCACAGAACCACAAGTGATTCTGTCATTCCCGTATCCAGCGAGGCTACTTGGAAGCAGGCATCCGATGGCCGGTTTGCTCAACCCCCACATCCCAAGCCAGTGCACTCGCCAAAAACTGCATGCACAGTGGTTCAGGCGGAGAAAGATGAACAAGGACAGCTAGCCCACCTTATACAGGCTGATTCACGGTGGATGGCACATTAGACGTTTCTGGTGAACCAGACAACGGATCACTTTGAAAATTTCAGCAACTTTTTCAAGCAAACGAAAAAACTGTATTTTTTTACCACCCTGTATTGAAGTAACGGAGATTAGGCTGACGTGTGGGAAGTGTCCAAGTATCACCTAACTCCAAACCAAATTTATCTGGTTCACCAGAAACGTCTAATGTGCCATCCACCGTGATTCAGCCTGTATAACCCTCTTGAATTGGACTCAGACACTGTTACTGACGTATCATCTGCGAATTGACAGACTAGACCTGCACCAAGTGAATGTAGAAGGTCATTGACGTATATCACAAAAAATATTGGTCCCAGGATGGACCCCTGTGGAACTCCTTGAGTAATGAGGTTTCTATCAGAATAAGTTTGTTGGTCAGTTTGATAAATGTCTACGACTTGGTATCTTCCAGACAAATATGATTTTATAAGGTCGTGTGCATTGCCTCTAATTCCATATTCTTCTAGTTTATCTAGTGAAATCGTATGACTGACCATGTCAAAGACCTTTGGTACTAAATGTTTGCAGAGGATCTGAAACTTTATAGGGTAGTAGATAACTTTTGTGATGCAGGACAATTACAGCTAGACTTGAATAACTTATCTCTTTGATGTGATATAAATGAATGCTAAAAAACGACATTCTCAAAAACTGTGAAACTTATTTATTAAATATCCATACAAAATCAAAAACATTGATGAGTAGAGTATTCTCTTGTGTGACAATTAAAAAAATTTGTATACAGTCGTCAAAAAAATAGTAAAAGGAAAATTTTGTACTTGCAGAAACAAATTTTAAGCTATTTAAAATGTAAAATAAAGTTATATATATATACAAAAATAACCTATGTAAAATAGTAGAAGAACTTAGTTATAATACATTACTGTTAATGTATTATATTGTATTACATTAAAGAACTGTATGAACTCTTCACTTTTATAAAAGACATTTTCTTTAAGAAAACTTTTTACCCTTTTAGCAAATTTAACTAAGACTAGTTCCTTCCACTCGTTTGGTATCATATTGTAATATTTAATAGACAGAAATCTGAAAGAGTTGAGATTCTTGGATAAGCGAAAATACGGCACTATAACGGATTTATATCTGGTATTATATTTATTTTGAACAGTATAACTGGAAATGTTTTTCTTGGCAAAAAGTAAGCATTCATAAATGAATTGATTAGTCACAGTCAATATACCTAGTTTTTTGAATAGTGGACGACAACTTTCATCAAGTTTTGAATTTGTTATTACTCTTATTGCCCTTTTTTGCATTATGAGAATTTTATCAACATGTGCCGATCCACCCCATAAGAGAATTCCGTAGGACATGGTACTGTGAAAGAGACCGTGGTAGGCTGTGAGAACAACACTTTCATTTACAATATCTTTGATATTTCTTAAGAGATAGATGGAGGTAGCTAATTTATTTCTCAGATTGGTTATGTGAGCCTCCCATGTCAGCTTACAATCTAATGTTAGTCCCAGGCATTTTACCGGCAAATTGTCCTCCAGGGTTAAGTTGTAATTCAGAGTAAAGAGTAACGTTTTTGTTTTATCATTATTTAGACACAATCTTACATTCGTGAAATATTCCTGAGCACTTTTGAGGGTGTATGATTCAATATTCTGATCATAGTTTCTCATTGAAACTAGTAATGTGGTATCATCAGCATATTCAACATGTTTTGACGATAAGAAATGAGTTATGTCATTAACATAAATAATAAATAGTATGGGACCTAAGATTGAACCCTGGGGAACCCCCCATGTAATTTCCCTTTTGGATGATACCTTTCCGTTTGAGGAGGTACACTGATATCTTCCTGTAAGGTAACTCTGAATGAATGAAAAAGCATTTCCTCTGACACCATAACTTTCCAATTTCATTAAAAGAATTTCATGTGACACACAATCAAAAGCTTTGGAAAGGTCCAAAAAAGATGCTAGTGTCACATTTCCTTTCTCAAATTCATCTGTGATGTGAATAATCATATCTACAAGTGCAGTTATAGTAGACTTTCCCTCACGAAATCCATGTTGTTTAGGGTTCAGTACATTTTTTCTCTCTAAATAGTTGATCAGTCTGATTTTATAAGCCAATTCAAGCAATTTTGATAGAATAGGAACTAGGGAGATGGGTCGGTAATTACTGATATTATTTTTGTTACCCTTTTTAAAAATCGGTATAACTTTGGAGAGTTTAAGAATCTCTGGAAAAACACCTTCTGCAAAACAGGTATTGATGAAAAACGTTATGGGGCTGATTAATTCGTCTTTTGCAAATTTCAGTGAGTCGCTATTTAGCCCATATATATCTCTTGACTTTGATGTGCTTAATCTGTCAATCAGGGTAATTATCTCTAATTCTGTTAACGGAGTTAAGTAAAATGAAAAGGCTACACTGTTATTCTGTATTGATTCGATATATGTATCGCCATTAGACTCTAATTATTGGACAATTTCCTTGCCAATGTTACAAAAGTAATTATTGAAGTCATCCAGCAATATTTGGGGTTAGGAGAAGTGATCATAGTAGGTTTTATGAGTGACCAGGCCAATCTTTACTTATTCTTTGCATTCATGATTAGGCGTGAGTTGTGTGATATTTTTTCAGTCTTAATTGCTAGTCTATACCGCCTCTTCATTTCCCTATATATTTCCCTCATAGAGGGGTCATTTTTAATGTTGACCAACAGCGTTCAGGACTTGATAACAAAGTAGCCTTTAAAGGTCATATTAATCACATTGTATCTAAATCCCTCAAACTATTGGAATTTGTTCAACGATTCACCGACAAATTTTCTATAAATATATTTGAAATATTGTACTGTTCTTTAGTACGCTCGGTCTTGGAAAGTAATTGCGAGATATGGAGTCCTCTATAGCTAGGATTAAGAAGGTACAAAACAAATTTCAGAGATCATGTGCATTTTAACTTGGATATCAGAGGTTCGATTATAGTACTGCTATGTTCTGTTACTTTTGAATGTATCTACTTTGAAGCAGCGCCGAGCTGAAATTGATTCAAGACTTCTTCATGAAGTTATAAATGGTGATATGAACTGTCCAGGTGTAACACAACTAATTGAATTTAATGTTAATTCAAGTTGGAGTTGTTTAATGTTCCTTACCATTCTACTAGCTATGGCTTAAATGAATCCATTACTAGAATGCTTAGGCTTCTGAATAAGAATAGCATCTATATTGATTCATTTGATTCATCCATACAGGATCCATCGAAAAAAAGATAGGATCTTTCATATAAAGAAACTTCATTGGAGCATCCCTTGTTAAGATACAGCCCCTTAAAGGGGCTACATAAAATTTGTATAACAATTTTTTTCACAAGCACTGAAAAAGTTACAATATTGAAATTAACCTGACGTTTTGTACTACCAAAAAGACACTTAGCCAGTAATTTATTTGGTTTACCCCATGGTTGTGAGGGGTGGAAAACGCAACCTCTAAAATTTATTTCCAATGTAACTTTTTGTCTTATTATTTGTTCACTATTTAAAAATGTATTTGCGATAGGCTGTTTCATTCTAAACAAAAAATGTTTCTTGGGTTTTTTGCCCAAAATAAACCAGTTCGCAGCAAAAATTATTTTACGAACAACTACAGATATATATTGTCATAAATGCGAACTGGATTTGTTGTTATTTTGTAGTTAGTACTTGTATTAAACGATTAAAGGGTAATAAACAAAACTATTTTATTGATAAGAAAACACACAACATGTAGAAATCATAGTAAATGTTCAATATGCCTACCTTCAGACATTACGCATGCGTCTAGACGTCGGCGCATTGAGCCACGTATTCGCTTAAATATTCCTGGAGTCTCTCTGATTACCCTGCACGCTTCGATGATGCGGTTTCTTAAGTCCTCTACATCGCGAACAGGAGTACGATAAACCAAATGCTGTAAATGGCCCCAAATAGAGAAATCGAGAGGATTGAGATCCGGGGATCGAGCGGGCCAGTCCTGTGGTCCTCCTTGACCTATCCACTGATTTGCATATGTTTCGGTTAAATGCTGACGTGCTACTTGACTAAAATGGGCGGGAGCCCCATCATGCATATAAAAACATATCCCTTCTGACGCCCAAAGGAACTTCCTCCAGCAGTACTGAATGCACTTTTCTTAAAAATTGAATGTATGCCTCACCATTTAATCAAGGAGGTAGAAAATGAGGCCCAATCAAATCATCCCCAATAACTCCGAGCCACACGTTAAGAGAAAACTGTTCTTGATGGTTAGTTTCGACAATAGCGTGAGGGTTTTCATCAGCTCATATGTGGTAATTATGAAAATTAATAATCTTGTCCCGATGATTTTCTCGATTCGCTTCAAATGAAGATATATTTTTGAACACATAAATACATGATTCATATATATACAACCCAACAAGAGTGAGAATTCTCAATTTCTTGAAGGAATCTCTACATGACTGTTGCCATTCTAGATCATTCTAGATCAAATGTAATGCATATCAGCCATTTCCTCATTTGTGTATGCCATTTTAGTAAAAAATGAATAAAGTAACAAATTAAGAACAGAACAACAACACACAATTAGTATTGATTCAATTTCGAAAATTCACAAACTGACAGCGTCATACCAATTTAATTGTCACTATTACTAATAGCGACCTACTAGATAGATTAGTTTCGTATTTTCGCATTTATGACGATGTATCTCTGTAGTTGTTCGTAAAATAATTTTTTGCTGCGAACTGGTTTATTTTGTTTATTTTGGGCAAAAAACCCAAGAGACATTTTTTGTTTAGAATGAAACATGCTATCGGAAATAAATTGCTTGTGAATAAAAATGTTATACACATTTTATGTACCCCCTTCAAGGGGCTGTATCTTAACAAGGGATGCTCCAATAAAGTTTCTTTATAGAAAAGCTCCTATCTTTATTTCGATGAGGAATCACCTCCTTAAATATTTTACACTTATTCAGTTACACCCTGTATATCTTTTCAAAAATCAGGTTCAACTTATTAACCTACTATGAAGGATCTGCTGATTATTATTAATAATAATTGATATTTTTCATTCTTGGTATTCCACATTGTTTACTTGTGATGCACTGTTTGGGACCTTTGGTGTAGTAATGAATATTACTGGAGTGTCGAGGTCTTAAAAATAACGTTACATTCTATTGTTACATTTTTACCCGTTTGTTGATCAATAATTAACTACACTTAATAATCAAACTTAACTTTATTTCACTTTAAATACAACAAACACTTCAACTGTTATTTGAATATCTATCGCTTTATTGAATCACTTCGCGTACCGCACTGTAACGTCCACTCGACTGTCTCGATATGCTCGCGGCTAGCGTTTTTATATTGTAATCGAATGCGGTAGAAATTTCGCCGAAGTTCCGTCGAAATCGGTAGCATTATTCTCGCTGCTTCTAAAGTGGCGGGGAATCATCGTACATTCGCGCGCTCTTAGCTACGTCACGTTTGGTTTATGGTTACCAGTGGCGGTCGGCGTTATTTTCTTTCGGGCATAATTTACAACACTATATTATTGTTTAATTGTTTATTTTTCTCTCACACTATTTATTGTAAAATTCAGACAGCCTAATAACATTACGCTTTCATTGAATAACTCAAAATATGAAGCTTGTAGTTTCATTTATGAAAAAATAAAAAATATAAGACTTCTTAAGTGAAACGCACTGTATATAATTACTAGCAAGAATTTGTTTAGTATAGAACACACCTGAAGAAGCTATGGTATGGTGAAATATGTGTTGTGTTTTTGTGAACTGTTTAATGAAAATCTCACAATACATGCTAACTTTTGTATTACAGGAAATTCATCAGCAATATTTGATGTATATTTTTAACGGAAAACTTTGTGGATATCTTTTAACTTTTGCTTTGTATTGATTTCTATTCATCTTGGAATAACCCCTTCACCAGTTCCGACAAATTTTTCAAATTAAACAATTTTGGCTTTCAAGAAAAAATGAGGCGCAGTAAAAAAGAAACTGAAAATGAGTTGTTCAGTTCAATTGTAACTTTCTTCTTCAGTGCAAATACATTTCCTATATATTTTAAAAAATTCATGTACTTCAGGCTTTTCATAACTTTCGGATTCGCTGTAATTAATTTAACAAATTTATATTTGAGAAATTCTGAATTAAACGTAAACAATTTTTCATCATACATTAGGATCACCAAAATGGCAACAACTCAAGGCTCCGATTGGTCAACTCTATCCATGGTCAAGGTTGTCTACTTATATAAAGAAACCACCCTTTTTTGATGGAATGACCAAAGATGTAACTGCAGCAAGGTCATTGGTTAATGCCAGAGTACTTTTGATGCTTGGTGATTCTGTAACAACAGATCACATCAGTCCTGCTGGATCCATTGGAAGAACAAGCCCAGCAGCACGGTAAATATACAAATAATTCAACTCGATATTCACCATCTGATTTCAAAACGTGTTCTGACAATTTTGATCCTTTGTTTGAAGGTGATTGACAATGGTTCGAGGTGCATTTCATTAGTTTGGACTTCCATTGTCTGATACGATATAAATTGATTCGAAATCCCTGAGAAAATATCTATGAATTAAAAAAGGTTAGCTGAAAAATAACAATTTTATCAAGCGAAAAATTTAAATTACAATTTCATTGTACAATTTCATTAAAATTGCAATTTCATTGTACAATTTCATTGAAATTACAATTTCATTGTACAATTTAATTGTAATTTCAGTTTTTTCGCTTGATATAATTGTTATTTTTTTAGCTGATCTTTTTGAATCCCTACAGATTTTTTCAGTGATTTCAAATCAATTTATATCATATTAGACAATGGAAGTCCGAACTAATGAAATGCAATTTTGATCCTTTCAATTATTTGATGCGGATAAATTCTTGATGATCATTTGCACACGCTTTTAATGGTTTTGAAGATTCACCAAATAACTTTCACCACAAGAACAAGGTATCTTATAAAAATGTAATTTTTTTGTTCTTTCTTCTATGTTCTGGATTTTGTATTTATCAGTATAGATATTAATGTATTTGTTGTTTTGTAAGAAGTTCTAATATATTTGATAAAAATAAAAACAACATTGAAAATTAATTGGCGCTCTAGGGCGACTTCATTGATTCCAGTGGCGCATTTGCTTTTTCAGCTGCAGGAAAACCCGGAAAAACCTGCAGCACCACATCATCTGAAGATCTTGATCTACCAACGTCCTCTCTCTCATAAAACAAAATGTAGGGTGTCTCCAGAGGCTCCAATTGATTCAGTGCATCGCCAGAACACTTCGTGACACGACTATCGTCAAACTTAAACCAGTCCGTTTCTTCTTTGACCAAGGCGTAATAATGACCAAATTCAACGCCAGAACCACAGTGAACAATGACTGCATGAATATTATAATAGTGGTCTGCTAGGTTGAAATGTTCATCTATTTCGAACCTTCCAAAGAGTTTCTTGCTTCCGTTAGAGGTTGAGTCTTGTTTGAAAATCATCAGTGTTATTATTAGATTGACTGGAGCCTCAGCTATACTTGTTTCCTTATAACAGTCAGTTAGTTTGGCGCATGTTTGGCAATACAGTCGATCATCACCTGTTGAAAATTCCATTTTCAGATGATTTAACAATAAACTGCATGGACTGGTTATTAGTTATATTAGGAAACGCTAGATGGAGTTCCAGACTGTACGGAATCATTCAATCCAGAGCGGTCAGGAGTATTGATTTTGCTATTGTTTTGCTGACGAAGAGTATTCAACACGCACCCCAAGAATTCGGAACAATCCTCTTGTTGTCCTAACGAGTATCTGGTGGACTTCAAAAACTCCAGGAAATCGGTTGGAGGGAAAGATGATACATTCTTATGAAACTGCAGCTGCACGAATAGGTGTTTGAGTTTGATGAATAAGTAGGGAACATTCCCGTTCTCGTTCATCATTAAAACCTCGTTCTTGAAATTCTTCGTCCTGAACAACACTTGTCAAATGCTATTCATGTAGTAAGTGTTTCCCAAATTATCGACTCTTTCAGTTGTATTGCCAATTGCATAGGCAGGAAATTTTCTGTGAAGATTCCTGCATCGACGCCTGTCGGTGGTATTAGCCAGGGGAGTAGTGGTTTTCTGATAGGCGTTAGTCCATTCAACCTACTTTGTAGGTATATCCGAGACAGGCTTGAACATTAAAAGTTCATTTCTTTAGATATTCAATGAATATATTCAAAGATATAACTTGATTATTCGTTTGTTACTTGGATTTTTAATTAGATTAGATGGATTGGAAAATAAATGAACACAAAATGTGGGAGTATTGACTCATGACAGGTTGAAATTTGATGAACATATCATGCAACTTAAGCGTAAGATATCTACCGGGTGTTAGCTTGCTTGTTACACGGTACAATGTACAAATCAGAATAATAGTTAATATGGTGTTCATTTTTGTTTTTCTTCAGTTCATCTTCTACAGGTTTTCATCATTTCAGGTATTTGGCACAAAGAGGATTAACGCCAAAGGAATTTAATTCTTATGGATCACGAAGAGGTAATGATGATGTGATGGCTAGAGGAACATTTGCTAATATCAGATTGGTCAACAAATTCTTGAATAAAGCAGGTCCTAGAACACTCTATCTGCCCACGAATGAAGAGGTGAGAATGTTTGAAAATGATTTCTTTGCATACATTTTGATAGTGTCTGTGTACATAAGAATTATGTGATTATATACAGGCCGTTTCTTTTATCACGTGGTAATATTGCTACATTCTTAACCGTGACGGATACAAAGAGGATTAAATGCGAAAAAAAGGTAACAGTTATCGGGAACAATACAATAGTTGAAGAAAATTTACGGGGACTCTCGCCATTCTCGAGTTATACGGGGAAAGCCAAGAATGCTGTTTTTTTTAAATACGGAACTGTCTTCTTTGTTGATGAAGCAATAAATTCACAATCCAAGGGTATATCCCATTGGTCCATTGTTTCCAATCCATTTTCTTGGGAATATTGCATCTAAACGATCCCTTACTATTGCAGCATCATGGGGAGGAGTGCCGTCCTGTTGAAAATATTGCATTTCATGGCTGATATTCAGTGGCAATTCATCTAAGTACAATTTACAAAAGAGGTGATTTCAAAAACTACACCTCACGATTGATCTCCACAAACTTTATTAGAAAAATATCTCGCAACATGTTTCGCTAAGACATTAGCTTTTTCAAGTGATTTATACTTCTAGTTGTTCTTACATTAATATTTATATATTACAGGTAACCATAATTGAGACTACCTCAAAAAAATTACCTGAACCTCTATTTAACGTACCTGTTCATTTATCAAATCATCTAGAGGAACAATTCGTTCAGGCCAGTCTCAACACCCTACACAGTAGGTTAATGGACTAACAACTATCAGAAAACAACTACTCCCCTGGCTAATACCACGAAGGGCGTTGGATTATATCCGACAGGTGTCAGTGCAGGATTCTTCACTGAAGTTATTCCTGCATATGCTGTTGGCGATCGTGGTATTAGCCAGGGGAGTAGTTGTTTTCTGATAGGTGTCAGTCCATTAACCTACTGTGTAGGGTGTTGAGACTGGCCTGAACGAATTGTTCATACAGATGATTTGATTTATAGCCAGTCTTCAAGTATGCCCACTGACTATACGTGAAACTGTTCATTTATGATCACCTGAAGCATATAACCTCACATCTACATCAATAATAATTTTTTATCGGTTTTTAACAAAACTAGTTCAATAATGGTGATCTATTCAAATCTAGTTGGTCATTCATTAGAGTGTTTGAATTTTTAAGTTTATTAATTTCCATTGCTTCCAAATGATTCAATTTCAAACCTTTATCTTCTCTGTGCAAAATTTCGAACTCTTCGTTGAAGATATGATTTTCTTCTAGAAGATGATTTGAATATGTTGAATTTGTTTTCTTATTTACATAGCTCGTATGATGTTCCTGGATTCGATTCTTAAATATCCTGCCAGTTTGACCAATATATACCTTAGAACACGTTCCACACTTTAATTTACATACTCCTGACATCCAAACTCGACAAATCATTACATGCCACGATCAGACTATGTACGTGCTATATCTTAGAATGTGTCCAGTTCACAACAAGATAATAAATGAATCTCAATATTTCATTAGACAACAAAACATGACGTAATTTTCAACCAATACACTGCCTAGGTCTCATCAAAAGTCCTCATCCAAAATGAATTCTGAAGTATATCGTCAATTGTCAACTGAAATTATCATCACTCATTTCATTTTCCTGTTAAATAATATTTTATCGAAAGTTTCTATTCAAAGTTCTCTCTCAAACACTCTCCGCTCAACATAAAGAGTCTTTCCGATAACAAACTACACTGCCAAAACATACAGTGCTGTTAAAACTGTTCTTCGTCAACAACTCTCCGATTTTTATGCCAAAACTTGTTAAGAACAAAGTATAAACATGGCACTGTCACTGAGGACCTATATAGCAGATCGAAACAGCGGTTCCGTTATTGGATCATAGATGTAACATTTTCAGTTGCCTACTTCCATTGTAAGCTGCATAGTCTAGTTCACATGTACTTTTTTTTGTAACATTTTTCAGCCCTGTCCAAAAATTACGACCAAGGTGTCATTCGATTCGTATTTTTGCTTAGAAAGTTTAAGGAAAGGTCCGAAAACGCGCCGATGAAAATTACAGAAGTTATAAACAATTAGGTGAAAAAAAAAAATGGGGCTTTAGTTTTTTCTCAATATCTCGGAAAATTTTGNGGCAGTGAGAATCTTATTTCAGAAATGTCAACAATATTCGTGAAAAAAAAACAAGTATTACAAGCGATTCTTCCTCATGTTCTGAAACCTGTTCCAAAGTCAACAGTCACTAGTTTTATAGATATAGATTTGTCGTATATTCAGCTATTGTACTTATATTGTTTTTCTCCTTGTTTTTCATTTCTTCAGTTCTTTCCATAGAAAAGTGGTGGAGCTGATATAAGGTTCATATATTTTACTTTCATTGTTATTTCTCAGTTGAAAATTAGATCATATATGTAGAAAGTACACGATTTGATAGATTTTAATGGACAATAACTACAAAATATTGGAAAGTATAAAAGAAGAAATCGAAGTCACTTGCATTTTTTTAGAAATCTCTGTCATACTTATAACTAGATTACCGATAACCACTGAATATGCAATAACAACAATAATCTGGTAGCTGCAGCTCCACATCTTGGTCATCACATATTGGTACTGAAGTCAAACAAAGTTGGATTGCATTTACAAGTAAAGGAGACTGTAATCAGTACCAGTAGTTTGATGATGTGAAAAAAAAAACAATATCGTTGTTCCTCCATATTTTATAAACGAAATATTATGAAAAACAAAAATACGAATCGAATGACACCTTGGTCGTAATTTTTGGACAGGGCTGAAAAATGTCACAAAAAAGGGCTAAATCGAGTTCATGTGAACGAGACTAGCAGAATGGGACAGAAATCAATTTGATCCGGTGGTCAGTGTGGAAGCTGGACATCACAACGGCAAGGAATAGTAACTTGTGACTTTATACAAAAATTTGATGGGGCTGAAAGGATCTGAACAAGAGGAAGTGTAACACCGTTAAATCGTTAGATTCAACTGTTTGTTATACCCGTTTCATGGACATTGATAACAGTTTACTGGGAAAATTATGGTTGTAATGAAAAGAGTTTTACACCCTGTTATATCATAAACGTGGCCTTCTAGAATATAGAATTATGAGAGATTTATTCTTGAAATTATCCGTAGAATCACCCCTACAAATATTTACATGGCATTTAGGAACACCATGAATATTGGCCTTGGTTTGAATATTTCAGAAGCAGAAATAATTTTATTTTTCAGATGGACATTTTTGACTGTGCCCAACGATACAAAGCTAATGAAACGCCCATTCTGATCATTGCTGGTAAAGATTACGGATCAGGTTCAAGCCGAGATTGGGCTGCGAAAGGGCCTTTTTTGTTGGTAAGATTTCTTTGCATTATCTTGATAAGAAAGCAATATGACGAGAGTACACAGGGAAATACATCATTATCTTCAATTGTGATTAAGCTTGGTGTATCAAATAATAATAATGATAATAATAATACAACGTTGTTGAGCAACGTTTGTTTCAAGGTGGTTGACAATGTTTCGTGGTGTATTTCATCAATTCGGACTTCCATTGTCTAATTTAATATGAACTGATTTGAAATCCCTGAAAGAATCTGTAAAAAATGAAAAAGATTAGCCGAAAAATAATTTAATTAAACAAAAAACTGAAATTACAAAGAAATAACATACAAGCAATAACCGAGCTGAAAATCAAAAAATTATTATTAACAAGAAATGAAAATTAGAAGATTCCAAACCAAGTTACTTCACGACGTTTCGATTGTTAGTGTCCACAATCATCTTCGGGGGATAACTTGACTGATTCCTCCGAAATCCGACTCTTTATAGGTCATTCGAGTGCTTTCACCTATCCCCTCTTCCCTCTCTCCGCTCCATTGGTTTAAGCGAGAGGTTACCGTTTGGCGGGAGTTGGTCGTTTTCCGCTTGATTAGAGGTTTCCATATGTTACGTATCTCTACGCTAGCTTGACTAAATGCGTTGTTGGACAACATATACGCGGCTTCCTTGAACTTTCTCCTAAACCAGTGTTTTTCCTTGTGGATGATTTCAGCTTGAGCCCACTTGATGTTATGTTGATAAGTCCAAAAAATAGTCTGCTATTCCGGATTTGCTGGTTTCTCCTCGCTGTGTGTGTTTCTTGTGCTCAGCAATACGAACTTTCAAAGGTCTTTTATCCGGTAAATGCAATTCTTGGAATCGTAGTCTGCGTTTGGTGGCCCCAAGTTTTACCACAAATCCTTCAATATGTCCATAGGGACAGTCTGGCTTTGTGTAAAACTTTTTGTAAGTGAGCGTTCCACGTGAGTCTTTTATCAAGGACAATGCCAAGATATTTCACCTCCGTTCCAAATGGAATGACCTCACCATTCAGGGAAAGTAGCGTTAAATCGTCCAACTTTCTCTTCTGGTGAAGGGCATTATCAAGACATCTGCTCCCTCAGGCACCAACTGTGAACAATGTCCATCGTACTTTAGAGGATAGTAAAAGCTACCCTTCCTGACGTGAACCTTGCCAAGGTGGCCAGGGTATCTGCATAAGCTTGCAGATCTACTTCTCTTCTGTCGAGGGCATCAAGCAGAGCGACCACAGAAGGGAAGACCTACTTTGAGGGCAGCCCCTGGTGACCCTGAACCTAATAACCTCGTCTTGAAGAGTCGTAGTTGCATTTCCATTTACCAGCATAGCATAAATCCAGTCAGTTATGGTCGATTCTATGTCTTTTCCAACCAAGGCTGATCCTATAGATTAAGGTAGTGCATTATCGAATAATGTATTCTTAAAACACTTTATTGTGTGATTTTCACTAGACAGTTTTACAAAAACGCAATACGTGTTTGGCCATACAATGGCTTCCTCGGGCGTGTCTTAATAACTAATTCTACACATTAAATGCTATATATACCTTATTCTACAATTTGAGGTACCTGAATTTCAAGTACCTGATTTTTTTACCTAAGTTTGTAATGAATTTAATTACCTGAGCTTATGTTCCATTTTCCACATTTGAAAAAATATTCAGTAGCGGGGAGTTATTTAATTCTAATTGATCATTCAGTAAATTACCCGAATTCCTGAATCTATTGATTTCTAAACATTCTAGAAGATTGCGTTTCAAACTCTTCTCTTCTAAATGTAACACATCGTATTCATGATTGAACTCATGTCCTTCTGCTAATAGGTGGTTTGCAAATGTGGAATTGGTCTTTCTATTTATAAAACTGCTTCTATGCTCTTCAATTCTTTGGGAAAATGTTCTTCCAGTTTGGCCAATAAGTTTTGGACAAGAGCCACAAGTCAGCTTATATACTCCTGATCTATCCAACAACGAAGTTTTGTCTTTATTGTTTTTAATAAATTTACTTAGATTATTATTCGTTCTGTAAGCCACGTTTACGCCTTCTTTCTTCAAAAAACGGGCGATATTCCTGGTTGGTTCACCCAAATATGCCAATGTCCTATAACTGACGTTATCGCATCTTGAATATGATCGTTTTAGAT